GTCTATGCAATTGTATTGTACCAAATTCTATATAGTCTACTTTCATATATGAAAAGAACTTTTAATTTGTTTCGAACATTTTGTGGGATTTAACTTATAACAATTTGCTAGCCTTTACGGAGACCCCACCACTAAGTTACAAAGTCCAAATAACATGCACGTAAAGAGAAAGTCCGTATTTTCTGCATGTTTCAGCAAAAAAATGTAAAGATTATTAACTTGAAAAAAAAGAGAGAAGATTATTAACTTTTAAAGTTCGCACTATCTAACAAAACTTTTTGTTTTGTTTGTTTTAGTTTCTTGCAAAATGACTTTTGAAAGCGTTAGGTAGTTCCAATTACTTTAAAATAAGATTTATATTAGTCTTTATAGCTTAAATTAGGTGAGTAACAATGTGTGAAATCAAATTAGGTGATAATATTAATTTAGTACATTATGACGAAAATGTTTTTAATGAAGTGATTAATGACAGTTTGGTAAAATATCCCTAAAAATTTGTTACTGAAGCTGAGAATCAGTAAAAAATATCTTTGTTATCGTGAACCTAATTTTTTGTTTCAAGCTTTGAAGGAGGAGCAGATCAAGCTTGATCTGGAATTGATTCTGATTGATCACGATTCCAGTTGATGATCTTTTATTAATACTGGGCGTATCAGATTGATCTTCAATATCTTCGTTATACACTATAGAATGGACACTGCATATTTAAGGGTTTCATTAGTATACATACGAAATATATCAAAAATAAAAATAGTTCACTATTTATGTATTAATAGTTCACTATTAATGTATTAATAGTTCACTATGTTAAAAAATTACATATATTGATTAAAATAGTTCACTATTTATGTATGTATAAAGTCAGGTGTCAACTTATCTATGTCATCTATTTATGTACGGATAGTCAGTTATCAGCTAATTTATGTGCGAATAGTCAGCTGTCCGATCAAACAATAGTTGGGGCATGAGAAACAAGGCAGCTGCATCTAAAGATCTCAGACATTGATCTCCGCCGCTCCTCCGCCGCTGTTATCAACTGTTTTCTCCGGAGCAAACCTCGTCAGATCTGAAACTTTGTCGACCTCTTTCCGTCGATTCTGGATCCTTCGGTGAGTACTTTTCAAATCTCGATCTCTCCTAGAAACCTCGGCGAGTTCTTCTAGCTGACGTACCATGTCGTCGG